ATGGGTGAGCGCTACATGTGTATCAGATGATGGGGGATGTAGGCGGAGCCTCCGTACTGCTCTCTCCTCTTACCCGGTGATGTGAGGGGCGGGGCATTCTCCATCACCACGTCCTTGTAGAGATCCCGGTGTCCTTCTAGATACTCCCACTCCTCCATGGAGAAATAGACAGAGACATCCTGACACCTTATAGGAACCTGACACACACAATGATACAGTCACCACCCAGACACACCCCTCGTCTGTCCCGGAATCACAAACTCCAACACTAATCGCTGGCTGTGGGGGGGGGGGTTACTGGGTGTAAATATAAAATAATATCTTCTTACCTCCTCTGCTCCCAGTTCCAGCAATCTCTCCTCTCTACTTCCTCCCACCTCATCTCTTGCCAGAACTTCCTGTTTATACTCCTACATCACTTCCTTTTCCTACTTTACATCACTTCCTGTTTGTGCGTTCAAAGCCAGAACGCCGCCGTGTGTTGAATATAAATACTGCGGTCTATCGTACGTTTCACTATTATTGATTACAGACATTCATACGGCTCCTTACACATCGTACATTCACATCAGTCCCCTCCCCCAAGGAGCTGACACTCTAATGTCTCATCTTACATACATAAACATACTACGGAGAACGCAGGAGTCAATTATCTGACCAGAATGTGTTTGGAGTGTGGGAGGAATCTGGATGAGCACGGGGACAACTTGCAAACTCCATGCAGATGGTGTCCTAGTTGGGATTTAAACGAAGAAGCCCAGAGTATATATATATACACACTATATTGCCAAAAGTATTGGGCCCCTCCCCCTCCAAATCATTGGATTCAGGTGTTCCCTGACATTTCCCGGCTACTAAATATTCCGCCGCGGTCGCCTGTTACTGGGATTATAACAAAGTGGAAGCAACCGGGAACAACAGCAACTCAGCCAGGATGCGGTCGGCCACGTCACATGACAGAGCGGGGTCAGCGCATGCTGAAGCGCGCAGAAGTCGCCAACTCTCGCTCCGAGTGATGCGCCGATGACGTAGTTCCGGTGCGACACCCGTACACGAGACTCGCCGCAACGTAACGCTATGGGAGAAGCCTGACCGCAGATGCGCCCGCGCTCCACTCTGCTAAACCGAAAAACGGAGATATTAAGCCGGCTACAAGCCGATCATAGGCGCTGACTACTGGTCCATGGATCCTTAGCTCCCGCTCTTCTTTATATGACCCCTCTGCAGTTTGCAGGCCACGGACTCCCTTCCAGCCCTCCTTAGCCTAAAAACCGCTGAATTGTTGGAGCAGGATGGGACGGAACAGCGGGATATAGGGGTATACCTACGAATGCTTCCAAACAAAGGAGGACATGGAGGGGTACATTACCAGATTGGAAAACACATACCGTGTTTCCCCCGAAAGTAAGACCTAGCGCTATCTTCAGGGATTTCTGTAATATAAGACCTACCCCGAAAATAAGACCTAGTTCGGGGGGTCGGTCTTATATTACAGACATCCCTGAAGATAGCGCTAGATCATACTTCCGGGGTAGCTGCACCGTATAATTACTTTTTACATGTCACGGCCGCAGCTCCCTCCCCCCCGCCCGACAGCACGCCCACCTTTCTGGCTCCATGGACGGCATTGGAGCAGAGAGCGGCCGCAGCTCCCTCCCGCCCCCCGCCAGACACGCCTCCCCGCACGCCCACCTGTCTGGCTCCCTTGACGGCAATAGTGCTGAGAGCGGCCGCAGCTCCCTCAATCCCGCCCGCCAGGCACCCCTCCCCGCACGCCCACCTGTCTTGCTCCCTTAACGGCAATAGTGCTGAGAGCGGCCGCAGCTCCTTCCCGCACAGCCACCCGCACGCATGAGCGCAGATCGGACAGCTGCAGCCAGGTACACATAAGACATCCCCCGAAAATAAGACCTAGCGTCTTTTTTCGTGGAAAAAAAAATATAAGACACCGTCTTATTTTCAGGGGGAAACTCGGTATAAGGAAGAGATGCGGACACTAAAAATTGACATGACAAAACTAGGAACCCGGGTAAATGAACTGGAGGAGGATATGGAAATAGGTTGATCCAGGATCGATATGCATCAGAAGATCATTAACAAACCGACAAATATGATCCAAGAAGTGACATATAAAATAGACGATATTGAAAACAGGAGCAAATGCGACACTATAAGGATCCGGGGTATACCAGAGTCAATACAGCCCCATGTCCTATTCTCCACAGTTAAAGCCATACTGAACGATATACTAGGGAAAGCACCTGACTCCGAATTGGCGATTGATACTGTATACTAGACATGCGCGATTCGTTTCGTTCCCAATCGAAATCCGGACGAATTTTCGGACATTCGGACGTATCCGAATTCCGAATTACAGACATAACGAATGCAAACGAATCCGACTTTCCATTTCCGAAATTCGGTAGCGTTAGTACGAACGTTCGTTTCGTTTTCTGTTCTTATTCGTTTCGTTCGTTGGAGCAAAGTGACATTAGAGAAGGAGAAAAATATTTTTTTCCCCTCAAATGTCACTTTTGCTACGAACGAAACGAATAAGAACAGAAAACGAAACGAACGTTCGTACTAACGCTACCGAATTTCGTCCGATTCCGAATCCGAATTGATTTTCACACCCGAATCCTGAAAAACAAAATAACACAAATCCGAATTTAAAACAAAACGAAACTAAACAAATTTTTTGGCAGTGCACATGTCTACTGTATACTAGACATGTGCGATTCGTTTCGTTCCCAATCGAAATCCGGACGAAATTTCGGAAATTCGGATGTATCCGAATTCCGAATATAACGAATGCAAACGAATCCGAATTTCCGTTTCTGAAATTCGTTAGCGATAGTTCGTTCGGACGTTCGTTTCGTGTTCGTTTCTTATTCGTTGGAGCAAAGTGACACCAGAGGAGAAAAACATTTCCCCCTCAAATGGCTGCAAAAGAATGAACGAAACGAATAAGAAACGAAACGAACGTTCGAACGAACTACCGCTAACGAATTTCGTCCGAATCCGAATCCGAATCGACTTTCACACACGAATCCCGAAAAACGAAATAACACAAATCCGAATTTAAAACGAAACGAAACGACTTTTTTGGGCAGTGCGCATGCCTACTGTATACAGAGTTCCCGGGTTTGTCAGAAAAGAATGTATAAGACCTAGGGACGTGATTTGCCGTATACACGACTTCACAGAAAAAGAAGCCATATTCATAGCAATGAGATCCAGGAAATCAATAACCTGCGATGGATATAGCGTGACAGTTTTCCCGGACCTTTCAAGACGAACCCTGATGCTCAGAAGAGCATTGCGGCCCCTACTAGAGAAGTTACAGGAAAGATCCATTGAATACAGATTGGGGGGGGGGTTCCCTTTCAACTAATAGCTTACAGAGATGGGAAAACATCAACATTTGTAACTATGAGGTGAGTGAAAAGCCCCTCCCCCCCCCTCATAGTTCTCCTTTAAGGTGGGTATAGGTAAACACATTTTAGAGTAAATAGTCGGTTTAGTATAAGGGGTGTGTCATTTTTTTTGGAGAAAAAAAACTAAGTAAAGATAAAAGGTAATACACCACTAATAGAGGGAGGGGGAAGGGTAGAATAGGACCCACAATAATATTTGGACTTTATGAATTATAGACTCGTAACACGGAATAGTGCACAAAGATTAAATAGATCAGAATGAATGAGGAAGGGGAAAGAGATGGAACGGGTAATGTTTGTTATTGAAAGAAAGGTTAGAGACATTTGTAATTTAGAATGTGTTTTATTTATGCTTTGAAATAACAAACAGATGTTTATACGTTTTATGAAATCGGTGTAATCGTGTGGATATGAATCAATAATAACAAAAAAATTAATTAAACCAAAAAATCAACCTGAAAGGAGCATCACCTGTGTGAATTATCTGGCGTGCAGCAGGGCTTCCTTTGTGAGTAAAACTTTTCCCACACTCTTAACATAATTACGGATGCTCTGTGTTATTTGTTTGCAAGATGTCTTGCTTTTGGCCTTTTTCCGTGAAACTTTTCCCACACTCTGACCAGGGGGCCGCTCACTTGTGTGACTTGGGGTTTAAGGAGATTTCCTTTCACAATAAAACATTTGCTGCACTTGGTACAAGGACTTCACCTGCGTGACTCCTGTGGTGTACAAGAAGAGCGTTTTTTTGTGCAAAACATTTCCCGCACGCTGAACAGCAAAAAGGCCGCTCACCTGTGTGAGTTCTCTGGTGTGCAGCAAGGTTTCCTTTCTGAATGAAAGTTTTTCCACACTGTGAACATGAATAAGGACGCTCACCTGTGTGTATTCTCTGGTGTTTAACAAGTATTGCTTTATGAGTGAAAGATTTCCCGCACTCTGAACATGAAAAAGGACGCACACCAGTGTGACTTCTCTGGTGTACAACGAGAGTGGATTTCTGTGCAAAACATTTCCCACACTCTGAACAGCAAAAAGGTCGCTCACCTGTGTGAATTCTCTGATGTTTGAGAAGGTTTCCTTTTGCAGAAAAACATTTCCCACACTCTGAACAAGGGAAAGGACCATCGCCTGTGTGTATAGTCTGATGTTTAATCAATGCTCCTTTTTCAATGAAAGATTTCCCACACACGGAACATGAAAAAGGACGCTCACCTGTATGAATTCTCTGGTGTGACAAAAGAAATGTTTTAACAGCAAAACTTTTCCCACACTCTGAACATGAATAGGGACGCTCCCCAGTGTGACTTCTCAGGTGTACACGAAGATTGGATTTACTTGCAAAACATTTCCCGCAGTCTGAACAGCAAAATGGCCGCTCACCTGTGTGACTTCTCTGGTGTTTAACAAGGTTTTTGTTTTCAGTGAAAGATTTCCCACATACGGAACATGAAAAAGGACGCTCACCCGTGTGAATTCTCTGGTGTTGAAGAAGGTGTCCTCCCTGAGTGAAACTTTTCCCACACACTGAACAAGAATAAGGACGCTCACCAGTGTGAATTCTCTTGTGTTTAGACAGTGCTCCATTATCAGTGAAACATTTCCCACACACTGAACATGAATAGGGACGTTCACCAGTGTGAATTTTCTGGTGTCTAAGAAGTTTTCTTTTGTCAGCGAAGGATTTCCCGCACTCTGAACATGAGAATGGATTCTCACCTCTGTGATCTCCTTCATGGGCTGAGGAAGATTCCTTGGGATTAGATGGATCTCTTGCAGTGTGAGTTATAAAATGGAGATGTCTCTCCGAGGTATTCCTGACATCACATCCATCTGCTGGAGAGAAATCATTACACACGTCAGTAATCAGAGTCATGTATGTTGGTCTAGAAGTCATCACAGAGCTCTGGCATGGAATTGGGTCCAATTGTAACCCCAAAATATGAAAACCAACCAGATAAAGGAGACAAAACCCCCAAAACACCTCTGACCCCCTGGAGACCATTGTACTGTTCATTCATGACCGCTATGGGGGGATGGAGATGGACCTTCATATGGTGTACAGTATCTCCCCCTCATTTGTTGGTCACATGATGTTATATTGGGGAATGGAGATGGACCTTCATATGGTGTACAGTATCTCCTCCTCATTTGTTGGTCACATGACGTTATATTGAGGAATGGAGATGGACCTTCATATGGTGTGCAGTATCTTCTCCTCATTTGTTGAGAATATAATTTCACCATACATTCACTGGATGAATTGGAGGATGGTGGTTGCCTCTTGCTAAAGCCCTTAGGGCTAGGCTGGGTGTGCAAAGCCCAAGAACAATGTGTGCTGTGGAAGGTGCATTGCACATGGACATCCCCCAATGAACCTTGATTTCTCAGTCCAAGGTTTATAGAGAATTTTGCCTTCCTCAGGATCATCCGGTTTAAGATGTTTGTTTTGGTTGAACTCGATGGACATGTCTTATATCCAATCTCACTTATTATGTGTCTTTCACTCTTTTGAGGATGAGAAGTTCATTGTATTGAAGAATGTTGAAGGAATGAGATTGATGAAGATCTCAGAACCATCATTCCTCCATGACAATGGACCCAACATGTGTATGTAGAACATTTGATGAGAGTTTATTTGCTGTAAATGACCCCCAACCATCCTAACACTAATCAGGAGATGACGACCCCTTCATCCTACAATAGGGGAGATGACTTCTTCTGGTGAATCTTCTTCCCAACTTTGATGGTCCACCATTTATAATTCAGTCTCATCTTATCTGATGATGTGAAGATCTGATAATTCTCCAACATGATCCCTTAAACGTCACACCTTCTACTCAGAAGTGACATAGAACTGTGACCTGTTCCCTCCATAGTGTCTGTTACTTACTTGTGTTGCTCGGTAGAGAAATGTCATCCTGATCACTTTTCATCATCATCCCGACCTCCTCCGTGGACGGCCGGTCACCCCCCACATACGTCTCCACTTCTTCCTCTTTAATCTCAACTTTTATGATAATTGGTTCTTCACCCTAAAATAATAGAAAACATCTCATAAAGCTGAACTCCGGGGAGATAGAAAAGACACAAAGGAACGCAGCTCTGCTATTAATTAAATGTGCTTTATATATGCTATCAACGTAAATACCTGACCGTGACCTGGGTACCTCTTGTATAGTTTAGAGTCACTTCTCTTTCTATACACCGAGTCCCACCTACCTGATCATGGTGGGGTACGGTGAGATCTTCCTGTGTGGAATCCCGGAAATACAGAGGACGGGGACATCTCTCTGGTGTGTTTGTGCCATGGAATGGTTCCATCATGTCTTTGTGCCCATCTGAAAACTCCTCCATCTCACCAACTTCATCCTCCTCCTCTTTTATCTCTTCTTCATCATCATCATCATCACAATCACTCTGTACATGGAGGACAATGAGATCAGATGTAACTACATAGCTAATGAAGAGGTCAAGATGGAAGTATCGGCTATTATTGTTTTTTTACTTAACCTCATGAGGGACGGTGAGATCTTCCTGTGTGGGATCCCGGGAATACAGAGGACGGGGACATCTCTCTGGTGGGTTCCTCTTACTGGATCCATCTGTAGGAAACACACACACTGACTGAATACATTGTTTCTATGTGTGTATGAGATGATGGGGGATGTAGGCGGAGCCTCCGTACTGCTCTCTCCTCTTACCCGGTGATGTGAGGGGCGGCTCATTCTCCATCACCACGTCCTTGTAGAGATCCCGGTGTCCTTCTAAATCCTCTTCCACAGAGACATCCTGACACCTTATAGGAACCTGACACACACAATGATACAGTCACCACCCAGACACATCCCTCGTCTGTTCCTGGATCATGTCCCAGAATCCCCGGCACCGCTCACCTCTCCCGTCATCAGCTCCATCATCTTCTTGATGACTTCTAGAACCTTCTTGGCCTTGTTCCTCTCGGGTTTCATGGAGTGAGGTGAAGGCACTGTGATGGTTAAACGGTCACCAGACTTCACCGGAGGAAAACTCTGTTTTGAAAGAGCAAAAGTAATGTCATGTGACATCCCAGAATCCTCCTCACATTTTTGGTCAGGTCTGTATTTTGTTAAGAGATAAAAGTGATGTCATGTGACCTCCCCAGAGTGTTCCTCACCTCTCCGGTCAGCAGGTAAATAATCTCCAAGGTGAGGGCCAATATCTTCTCAGTCATATCACTCGGGTCCTTGTCCATCCTCGTTGATGTGATCATGTGATCCATAGAAGACTCTGATTTCACTGCAGTGCTTAAAATAAATAAAAACCACCAGAAAAAAACTTAGAGACACTGTCACCATCATAGAATAATGCTCAGAAAGAGCTCAAGATTGTAGAATTCTTTAAAAAAAAACGTTTTTGCTCTGAATAAATTATTTTCTATTTACTCGCAATGTATCTACTAGAACCTTGGTTCTCAACTGGTGGGTCATGAATGGACAGTTGGATAAATGGCTCTATATCTAGGATGTATCCGGTCTATAAATGGCGCCTCAGGATGGACAGTTGGATAAATGGCTCTATATCTAGGATGTATCCGGTCTATAAATGGCGCCTCAGGATGGACAGTTGGATAAATGGCTCTATATCTAGGATGTATCCGGTCTATAAATGGCGCCTCAGGATGGACAGTTGGATAAATGGCTCTATATCTAGGATGTATCCGGTCTATAAATGGCGCCTCAGGATGGACAGTTGGATAAATGGCTCTATATCTAGGATGTATCCGGTCTATAAATGGCGCCTCAGGATGGACAGTTGGATAAATGGCTCTATATCTAGGATGTATCCGGTCTATAAATGGCGCCTCAGGATGGACAGTTGGATAAATGGCTCTATATCTAGGATGTATCCGGTCTATAAATGGCGCCTCAGGATGGACAGTTGGATAAATGGCTCTATATCTAGGATGTATCCGGTCTATAAATGGCGCCTCAGGATGGACAGTTGGATAAATGGCTCTATATCTAGGATGTATCCGGTCTATAAATGGCGCCTCAGGATGGACAGTTGGATAAATGGCTCTATATCTAGGATGTATCCGGTCTATAAATGGCGCCTCAGGATGGACAGTTGGATAAATGGCTCTATATCTAGGATGTATCCGGTCTATAAATGGCGCCTCAGGATGGACAGTTGGATAAATGGCTCTATATCTAGGATGTATCCGGTCTATAAATGGCGCCTCAGGATGGACAGTTGGATAAATGGCTCTATATCTAGGATGTATCCGGTCTATAAATGGCGCCTCAGGATGGACAGTTGGATAAATGGCTCTATATCTAGGATGTATCCGGTCTATAAATGGCGCCTCAGGATGGACAGTTGGATAAATGGCTCTATATCTAGGATGTATCCGGTCTATAAATGGCGCCTCAGGATGGACAGTTGGATAAATGGCTCTATATCTAGGATGTATCCGGTCTATAAATGGCGCCTCAGGATGGACAGTTGGATAAATGGCTCTATATCTAGGATGTATCCGGTCTATAAATGGCGCCTCAGGATGGACAGTTGGATAAATGGCTCTATATCTAGGATGTATCCGGTCTATAAATGGCGCCTCAGGATGGACAGTTGGATAAATGGCTCTATATCTAGGATGTATCCGGTCTATAAATGGCGCCTCAGGATGGACAGTTGGATAAATGGCTCTATATTTAGGATGTATCTATCGTCTATATATGTGCTGCAGCATCGGATGGAGGTGAAAGGCATCATAGTGAATATGGGGGGACCAAATAAAACTTGATGGGGGGGGGGGGGGTTACCGGGTGTAAATATAAAATAATATCTTCTTACCTCCTCTGCTGCCAGTTCCAGCAATGTCTCCTCTCTTTTTTCTCCTGAATCACCTCTCACCCGGAATTTCCTGTTTTATACTTCTACATCACTTCCTGTCTGTATCATACATCACTTCCTGTCTGTGCGATCCATGTGAGATCACCGCCGTGTGTTGAATATAAATACTGCGGTCTATCGTATATGTTTCGCTATTAGTGATTACAGACATTCATACGGCTCCTGACACACTGTACGTGGACATCACTCCCCGCCCGCCCGCCCAAGGAGCTTACAATCTAATGTCCCATCTCACATACATAAACACACATACTACGGATAGCTTAGGAGTCAATTATCCGACCAGCGTGTCTTTGGAGTGTGAGAGGAAACCACACAAGCAATGGGGGGGGAGAACATGAATACTCCATGGAGATGGTGTCCTGGTTGGGATTCACGCTGAGGAACCCAGTGTATGGTGAGGCCCGGGCTGATGATATGGTGGACGGTGTTTTCTCAGAATCTCAATAAGTCCTCTTCTGGGTCTTGGACCTCTGAGGCTTTGTAGAACCTCCATGGGCACCCAGACCGGTCTGCAGCTACACAGCCCCATACACAACAACCTGCGATGCTCTGTGTGTTCAGGCACCTTTCTATCAGAACCAGAATTAACGTTTTGAGCTCCAGTACTTCTTTTATTGGATCGGACTACAAGTGTCAGCCTTGGTTCCCCTTGGCCTTGGCCGTCCATGACCCTTAGGTGCTGCCCCTAGCAACAAGGTAACCATGAGGGCCAGCCACTACCTGCAAAAGCTGACCCCAAGTGAGTATGTAGAGGCTTTACTTACTACGTCTGAGAGGACAGTGGTAACAGATGGGTGTCCCCAAGACCAGTGGGCTGG